CCCCCCCCGCCCCCCTTAAATGCTGCTGTTCACTCCTTGGTAGTAATGAAGGGAATGACTTGAGTACCTGGCATAGGCCAAGTTTTGTTATTTTCTGTGGTTCTTTTAGCTAAATGTGAGCGAGATAGGACTTCCTCTGTCACAGCATCCTAGAAGAAGCTACAAACCAAACTTACTTTCAGGGATATGGGGACCCAGAGGATAGAAATGTGTTGGTATCATAACTTGTTCCAGAATCTCAAACATGATTGACTGCCAGGCACCCGTTGCTCAGGCCTGTAATTCTAGCTACTTGGAGCCTGAGAACTGATGACTGTGCTTTGAAGCCTGCCTGGGCAGGAAAGTCTGTGGGACTCTTTATCTCTAACTAAGCAAAAGCCAGAACTAGAGCTGTGGCTCAAGTGGTAGAACAATTAGTCGAGCACAGAAGCTCAGGGACAGTGCCCAGGCCCAGAGTTCAGGCCCCACAACTGGACCCCCCCAAAAAATCCCTGTGGTCTTGAATCACCCTGTCTACACTCAGGCTCCATCTTACTTGATCTTCATTTTGTTTGTTTTGCTGTTTTTACAGTGCTAGGGTTTGAACTCAGGGACTTGTACTTGCTAGACAGGTGCTCTGCCATTTGAACCATGTCCCCAGCTAGGAGCTGGTCTTTGTGTTTGGGTCTTTTCTATTGCTGATACCTATCCTAGCTTTAATAATTGCAATCTGCAGTGGAATGAAAAATTCATAAAATCCAGGTCTCAGGGAAGAATGCAGGGACCGCAGCAGTGACTTGTGAATGCTTTGCTTGTGCTAGAATCCTGCAGAACTATAGATATTCTCCCCTGTGATTAACTCAGCTCCCCATTGAGGTTGGCGCTTAGTAACATTTGTGATCCTCATCTTAATGATAAGGACACTGCCTCCAGTGACGGTAGAGTAGTCAACACATTGTGTCTGTAAATGTAGATTTAGAAAAACCTGCGTTCTGGTTCTGACCTTGTCCTCTTCAGCCATTATCTTCTGCAAACTACTTAAACCCTCACTGAGCCTCAGTTGATGTATGTGTGAAATAGGACCGTATGAGCCTCGCCTGGCCCCCCAAAAAGGATTGCCATGAGAGCCCTAAATGGAGTGGTGTGTCTTGTGGAGCCCAGATTCTGTCTCACCTGGACATCTTGTTTGATAACTGATGCCTGGTGTTTTCATTTAACCCTCCAGCAGGCCTGCTGAGCCTTGAGCTTTGAAATGACTGTTTCAATCCATTCAGAGTCTGCAGGAACCTCTTCTTTGTGGCTGGGCTAGGGTCCTGCATCCCATGCGACTCACCCTGTACTGCGCTTGTTTTTCAGATCCTGCTCCAGTGACCTCCTTCCACTGTGAGGTGGTCCCCAAAGAGCCAGCCTTGGTACTGAGGTGGGCCTGCCCTCCGGGCACCAATGCAGGCTTCGGGGTGGGGGTCAGCAGCACGGTCTGGGAGAATACCACCCTCGTGGAGAGCTGTGCCTCCGAGAACGGCACCGAGTGCAGCACAAAAGTCACGTATTTGAATTTTTCTACCTCCTACAACATCAGCATCTCCACCTTGTCCTGTGAGAAGATGGCTCCGCCCGCCCAAGGCACCTGCACCACCAGCATCACAGGTGGGCCTCGGGGTGGGGTGGGGGAGCAGGTCTGCAAGCGTGGCCCAGAAGTCCTTTTTTTTTTGGCTTATTTGCCATAGAGCCTTTGTTGGCAGACAAGTATCCATTCTGTAGAAATCCTGTGTGCAAAACCAGAGTCAGAGGGACTTGTTTTTGTACATTCTTAGAAGTTGGTTGTTTACAGAATAGCTCATCACCATATCTTTATGTAGAGAGTCCCTCACTACATGATAAAAAGCACTTTTTTTTGGGGGGGGGTCCGGCCGTGGGGCCTGAACTCTGGGCCTGGGCACTGTCCCTCAGCTCTTCAGCTCAAGGCTAGCGCTCTACCACTTGAGCCACAGCGCCACTTCCGGCTTTTTTCTTTTTGCTTATGTGGTGCTGAGGAATCGAACCTAGGGCCTCAGGCATGCAAGGCAAGCGCTCTACTACTGAGCCACCTTCCCAGCCCAATATGTATATTTTTAATAGTATTAATTTTGTCCTAATCCTTGAACATGGGATATCTTTCCATTTATTTGCATCTTTTATGACCATTTGGTTTTTAGCACACAAATCTTTCACCTTCTTGTTTTATTTTAATTATGCCTCCATAGATGTGTTAAAAAAATGAAAGCATGTATTGGTAGAAATAACAATAATGAAACCATACCAGGCAATTAGCAGTCTGTACTCTGTGGGATATGGCGAGACACACTGAAAGGGTTGTTGTGATCCAGGCTTTCCCCATAGCCACGGTCTCTCTATGTCCCTGATTTTCGTCCCTGCTTCTTTTTTTTTGGGGGGGGGGCTCCGGTTGCAGAGCTTGAACTCTGGGCCTGGGTGCTGTCCCTCTTCAGCTCAAGGCTAGCGCTCTATCACTTGAGCCACAGCGCCACTTCCGGCTTTTTTTCTTTTTTGCTTATGTGGTGCTGAGGAATCGAACCTAGGGCCTCATGCATGCAAGGCAAGCACTCTACCACTGAGCCACCTTCCCAGCCCCTCGTCCCTGCTTCTTGCTTGCTGACTTTGCTATGCATGAGCTCAGTATACTAAGGTTTCAGGTAGGGCAGGTTCTGAGGAGGGTATGTAAGCACAGACGCTTCCTTAATGTTTTTGTTCCTTGTTTGATCTTAAGTGTTGGTTTTGTTTCAGATCCCCCTCCTCCAGATGGATCCCCCAATATTACTTCCATCAGCCACAATTCAGTAAAAGTCAAGTTTAGTGGGTTTGAAGCCAGCCATGGACCCATCAAAGCCTATGCTGTCATTCTCACCACTGGGGAAGGTAAGGACTGGCTGCAGCCTGTGCTTTGGCTTTCAGAGAGGGAGGGTTAGGCCCATCCTGATAAAAGTTCAAGGGTCGTGAAAGTTTCTCTGAAGCTCTCGGGAGCAGATGCCTCTCTGGCAGCTGTTTAGTTCTACCATTGTGGAATGAAAACAATTATAGAAGATACATAAAGAATGGGTATGCTTCTTCCTGCAAATTGTTACTTGCCAAAACAGGTGGTGGCTAGATTTGGCCCTTAGACTATAACTTGGCCTACCTTGGATCTAGATTTCTTTTCTCTTTACCAACTTTGTCTACCTTTTCCTTCAATTCATCCTTAAGAGGCCAACTTTCTCTTAATAAAGAAACATTTGTATTTGTTGGTGGGGCCTTGGCAAAGAGCATGCTGCTGCTCAGAGAGGAGGATGAGTTAAGGCCTTTC